AAGTGTTCATCACAGGAGCAGGGTATAGGAAGGTGGCACTATATGTGGAGGGACCAATAATGTGTCTCAAGTGTTGCAGATGGGGACATAAGGCCTGGAGCTGTCAACTGGACCCACGTTGAAGATTCTGTGGGAAGAGGCACGAATGTAGCAACTGTAAGGACAAGATCAAAGCAGGAGAGAAAGTGAAGCCTTGTTGTTGTAATTGTGGTAAAACTCACAATGCTAGTTCAATTGCATACGAGATGAGGCCACGTATGAGAAGTGACCAACAAAGGAATTATTCAGAGAACACTGAAGAAGTACGCTGTGGTTTGACAGTGACAAGACAGCAGGAGAACACACAGACAGTGATCCCTGAGAATGCCTGGCATGAAGATTCAAGAAGGATAAGGACTGCGCTTGCGGCCGGAAGAGTTGTTGATGCCAGGAACAAACAGAGTAATAAACAAGTAGCAAGTGAGAGTAGTGGTGCAGCCCTCCAGGTTAGTGATAAAACTGTGCAAGAAATTCTGGGAGAAGAGGTGCTTAAGATGTTTCAGCTTTTGCAAAAGGGCCAGAAAAATAGGGTATGATAGGAGAAAAGACTTGATACAGTGATAAATAAAGAAAGGGAAAACAAAGCTGTGAATATTGTAGAATTAGAAGGGAAAGAGGAAAGTGAAGAGCTCAAGCTTTTGAAAAATTCAGTGCTTAAAATAAGTATTACAGGGAAGGAGAGGAAAATAAAGGATTGTGTAGTGCAGGGAACAACAACTGAAAGTTTTAAAAATGTGTTGGTAAAGTGTAAAGATGCTGATAAAGAAAAACTTTTGAGGAAATGGGAATCTGTGCAGGAGGATTGGGCCTTCTTAAAGAATCTGATTGGAAAGGATATAAAATGTGTAAATATTAATCCTGGATCTAGCTAGCCTTAAGACGTCTTTAAGGTGGCGAGATTAGAATCCCAGGGCGAGATTCCTTGGCAGACGCCACGGCCCACCGCCACAGTCAACTTTTCCTGGGCCAGGCGCTCCGAGCTAGCGAGCGAGCCTGTAAACAACTCTGGCCTACTGACTCCGTCATATGATCATGGTCTACCCACTGTTCTTGGTTATATGTATGGAGCCGTATTAATATCCATGCTTAGGGATGACTAGCAGAAATATAGTCATCCCAGGTTAAGTATTGAACCACTGAATGAGAGTTCAAGGTACCAGGTTGTTCCTTGCAAACTAACAGGAGGTATTGTATGTTACTATAATTGTGGAGTTAGTCCAATGTGTTATGTATTCATCTGTAGTACCCATGAAAGAATAACCTGAGAGTATGAGGTTCTAACCACGAATTGAGAAGGTAATTTGTTCCTTGTTAAAGTAAGACCTGTGGGTCCAGGGTTATTGACAGTGTGTAAGCATTGCTAAATCTTACTTGTCACAGAAATACTACAACAGTATCCAATAAAGTAATGAATATTTGGAGGTGTTTAATGAGGTAATAAGTTCTTGAAGTGTTTGATGACTTAATAAGTTAATTTCGGTTCTGTTTAGCCTGAGTGAATCTAAGATGCATCTTCTCCACTCACTGTATTAATAAATATTGAGTTAGTAATCTGAGTATCACCACTCTACTCCTTCTAAACATTGGTTCCCAGAAAATAATACTTACTCACGTGCCTATACATCTACCACACTACCCAAAACCCTTCCATGAGTTCTGTTATATAATGAAAAGTCTGGGTGGTGGCAGCTACCCCTTGTAAGTATAAAAAGTGTTATACAAAGAATAACATGGTTCCCCAGACTAACCCATGTATAAGAAAGACATAAAACAAAGTATACTTCAGAAAGGTAAGAACATTGAAACTGAAAATACAATTTATATGAAAGGAAATGAAAAGAAAGAACCTTGACTTGGAAAACATAAGTGGAGAAGCATAAGAGTTACTTATATAAGAACATATAAGAATATAAGGTATATAGAGGTAAAGAACATATAAGAATAAATATATATGTAAAGAATGGAAGGAGAATAAGTATATTAAACAGGGTACTCATTGGAGGAATGCTACATAGAACAAATAAGTATATGAGTAAATAGAATACTAACAGAAAACAGTAGCTGGATGGTAAATTATTGAAAAGAGAAAACGCGGCCCGTTACAGGGACAGGAAAGGCGACCTGCTTAAACTGTCTGGATATAAGGGATTTCATCTCTATTCGGGTAAAGGTATAAGAGGGGTCTCAACATACATTAAGAATTCCATACCAGCAGAACTAGTTGGAAACCCGAGTAGAGTACAAGGAATAGAAAGTGTCTGTATAAAGTTATATTTGAAGGAAGGAGAACTGAACATAGCAAATTTGTATATTTCTGGATGCTGTTTTGACCTCAACTTCTTACCAGATTGCATGTTTTTGGACTCAACTTTGGCTGTAAGAGATTTTAATGCTCAACATCCAAGACTCGAAACAATGGGGAGAATTAATAGAAATGGTATAAAATTTTGGCAATTTTTACAAGATCACCCAGATTCTTACTTGTTAGGAAATAAGGAAGTGACTCATATTAAAGGAGGAAGGTTAGACTATGCTTGCATGATAAGCAGTCAGGGAGTCCAGGGAGAATGTGAGATAATAAGGGAGCTAGTCAGTGACCATTTTGTTGTGTATGTTCAATTACCATTAGGGAAGAGACAGGTGAGATATAGGAGGGAGAGATTGAAACTAAACAAGGATGACACAGAAGTGTTTACCCAAAATATAGAGAAATGGTACAGAAATTATACACCAGTCTGTATGGATAGCTTTTATAATGACTTAGTTGGGGAGATAGAAATATATTTGACTAAGTCAACACAGAAAAAAATAAATGATAAGAGACATGGGGCTAGGAAACACTGCTATACCAATGACAAAATGTTGAAGGGATGGACACAAATGTTAAGGGCAGCACATAAAGATTGGGAAAAGAATGGTAGAAGAGAAGAAGATAGGGAAATCTTCATGGATATAGCCAAAATATGTGGGCAGGCTAGGAAGGAGGCAAGGGAGAAATATTGGCAAGATTTTGCACAGCACATTGGGGAGAGTAAAAATCTCAAAGAAATATGGCAGGATATTAACAAAATTAGAGGAAAAAGGAGTAATTTTATTAGCCATCCTCATCCAGAGGAAGAAGCTAATAAACTGGTTGACAAATGGGCTAAAGCTGCTAGTGTTGCCTCCCTGCCTAACAGGACAATAGAAGCATTAGATGAGTGGCAAAATGAAAGAAAAAGATTTATTTCATCAGCTCTAAATATTTGTGATGTAACATGTGTAGATATTACTCAAGATGAGTTATTAAATGCTGTTAAAAAAGGAAAATCTACAGCACCAGGCGAAGATGGTGTGACATATGAAATTTTGAACTGCTTAGTTGGTATGGAAAATAGTCCATTATTAGATTTATTCAACATGAGCTATGCAGAGGGTAGATTACCAACAGAATGGAAGAAAGCGATAGTTATTCCTTTCCCTAAGGCAACTGGTGGATACAGGCCAGTGTCTTTAACATCTTGTTTTTCCAAGATGATGGAGAGAGTATTATTAAATAGGCTTGTATATATTGTGGGGAAAATCTATCTTGTAATTTATTTGTTTTTTTGGAAGGGAAATGTACTTCAGACTGTGTTATAAAATGTTTATCAAATGATGCAGACAGATGTAGAGTTTTTGTGGATTTACAAGGAGCATTTGATAAAGCTCACAGTGAAGTAGTTATGAGTGAACTGGCTGCTCTAGGGGTATCAGGAAAGTTGTTACACTGGATAGGTGACTACTTGCATGGAAGGAGAATCTGTGTATGGTATCAGGGATGTTTGTCTGAGGAAAGAGCACTTGAACTAGGCACTCCCCAAGGGGGAGTATTGAGTCCAATGTTATTTAATGTGTTAATGAACAAGATAGCCTCACACAAATATCCCAAAGGAGTTGTAACCATCATTTATGCAGATGACATCTTATTTCAAGGAAACTCTGTAAAAAATTTGCAGATTGCATTAAATGATTTTAGTGTTCTTTCTCAAAAGATGGGCTTAGTTATGAATGAAGAAAAAACCAAGTGTGAATGTAAAGGAAGAGGAACTGAATCCGTTTTTCTAAATGGAAAAATTGTTGAGAAAGTGTCAAAGTATAAATATTTAGGAATGTATATTGGCTTTACTAGTGAAAGTAAAGAGGCAGAAATATATCATGTCCTCACTCAATGTAGAGCAAGATTACAGCCCTTGAAGGCTCTAGCATGTTGTGGTAAAGGTGCTGGGGCACCCATACTGAGAATGATGTATATTTCTACCATCAGATCACTTATAGACTATGCAGCACCTGTCCTCTCTTGTACTGGTGAAGGAAGGCTACGGAAGCTTGAGATCATGCAAAATGAAGCAATGAGAATAATTTTAGGGTGTCAAAAGAATGCAATGATTGAGATAATGAAAATGGAACTAAGGTTACAGAGCATTTCACAGAGGGTCAATGAAATTAATACAGTTGCAGCAGTTCGATTAATGAGAGGGAACAGTGGGGGTAAATTTGTACAAGATATAAATGATGGTTTACAAAATAAAAGGACCTTCTGCAGGCAAGGCAAGAGAGGATACATGAATGGATTAGTAAATATTATTAAAAAATGTAATCTGGCAGATTGGTGTACAGCTGTTCAGAAAAGTTGTATGAATCCACCCTGGGAAGAACGAGAAATAGAGTTAGACGTAGTGCCTCTCACAATGAAGAAATCATTACATGAACCAGGACAGTTGAGGGCTTTATATGGGAATAAGATTAGTAATTTGCCTAAAATAAACACATTGCATGTATATTGTGACGGTTCAGTTATGTCGAGATGGTGAGATGGTTGTTGGGATAGTAGGGCAGCTTTGGATTCTTTGAACAGTGGGAGTCCAGTCTTTGGACACATTATTGGTTCATGTAGAAAATTAGTAAATACAATACGGAAAAATGGCCATAATGTTCAATTTGTATGGGTCCCTTCACATGTGGGGATTGGTCTTAATGTTGTCAAATTATGTATTTTTGAATGCAGACATTAGTGATTGCGCTGTGTACCGACAACATTTTCATTTGTAATTCCCTTTAAAATGGCCGGCAAGCGTAAGATTGAGAGTTTCGTGGTGCCGAGAAGAAAATGAGACGCCCATCTATGTACAGTATTATTTTCCCATTTTCGACTTGCGACCCGGTCGCCGGTCCCTGACCCCGTCGTAAGTCGGGGACCGACTGTACCGGAATGTGCTGGGTATATACGGTATAGCTCTACTGTATATCATTATCTACAAGAGTTAAGTCGGACTCGCGAACGAGCCTCGGGAGCTCGACTCGTCTGTCGGTCGAAGAGCTCCTATACGGTATTGGCTTATAATCGACGAGTACGGTCACCCCAAAATAATATCTTTAGCCACGGGGTCGACGTGCTTCGAGGCTATTCGACCAATGTTACACGACCCGTTTCAGAACTGTTGCCAACTCTACGTCTACACCTCTGAGCACGAATGAGCATACGTATGTTTTTGAGAGATGCGAATCCTCCGAGGCTTCCGATCGCACGTCAAGCGAATTGAGATTGCGTGTCGTAAATGGACGCCGACGCCGTGCCGGTCATTAATGGGATCTCACGTCAAACGAACCGAGGAATTATCGGAAAGACGCAACGGGGCGAGCGAACCCGCGGTATCGCGATGGATCAGCCGCCACGAAAAGACCGGCGACGCGCCGATTTAAATTCTTATCGTGACGTTAAACCGACACTATTTACGAATCAATAATATTTGGCAGATCCCAATTAGACCAATATACTGTATATTGCTGTAGCTGTTCACTCTAATATCAACTACTATTTCCTTGGTCACCTCTCATAAATCATACGTGTCGTCGACGACTATATTCTGCAGCTCGGTACGAATGAAACCGTCACTACGACACGGTGAAATGTTCGCCTCGAGGTCCGTCTCGGTTGTGATCCGAAACTCTTCCATTTAAAGTATATTTCCATGTTATTGTAATCCTCAGTCAGGGGCTTCTTTACATATGCCTTGCTTCTACCCAGCACGATACATACGTTAATATAGCTTAATGGATTTCTTGTTATAGTAAAGCATATACTGTACGGTTGTATGTCACGCGAGGATGACTCCCTCTCTCGCTACCCGCCGTCTATGGCTGTTGCTCATATAGTGACCGGATGTACCTGTACCAATTTATGCTGATGCACTGGAGATCACATCAAAGTCTTTCACCCAGCATTTCAAATTTTACCGCTAGAAAATCTATCAATACTTTTTGGAGACTACATAATTGGGGGGGGAACCTTTTTCATTGAAGAAAAGTATCTTGGCTTTTATAATGTGAGTCTATAGGAATATTGATTCGATTTACCATAGGTTTTTATAAGACACAGTACTCTTTCAAACTGGGGAATGCCTGTACAACTTTCCTAACATTCAAAGTACCACAACAATATTAAATACAATACCACAGACTACTTGAGGTCCAGTTAGCTTCAGGTCCACTTCACTGCAGGTCCAGCCAACTTCATTCTAGTTCACATCAGGTCCACTTTAGGCAGTGATGGAGAAAGTACCTGAAAATATTACTTAAGATAAAGTACTGCACTGTTGATATGCAAACATTTAAACTATGTACTAAGTACTGTAGTCTTCTTCAAAACTATGCAAATAAAAGTTTCATAAACTGAATTGAAACATACAGGCAGAAAAAGTAGTACAGCATTTGTAAAGAATCATAATTAATAAACAATGACATTATGTTTTGAAAACGAAGCTAAAAGTTATTAATATACTGCACTGTACTTTAAAGAATAACGAAATAAACACACATTCAAAATTTGGTTTGGGATGAAAAACGTGAATCTGGGCCACAATTTTGAGAGGTCCCGTACCACCGACACCAATGGGAAGTGACTTTAGACACAATCATTTACATAAATGTCCACTTTTATAGGATTACTGTACAAGTGCACTTAAATACAAGTCCTCTAATACGCTCGGCTCGTACGCCCGACGACACGACGCGAAGTGACGACGTCGGTCTTACCTCCGGCGGGTCGGCGGCGGCGTTTCTCCGTTTGCCGTTAACGGCGTCGTGTGCGAGACCGGACGGGTCTGTACGGTCGAGTCTCCACTTGTCGTACCGAGATGTGTTGTTGGTCCTTAAAGCTTCCTGGAAATGTAACAGATACCTATATAATACACAACACTGTAAAACTATTATATTATAGGCAGGGATTATTTGACCAGTACTCGGCACAATAACCGCCGGTTATTTGACAAAGATCTAAAATAAAACTAAATCCTTTTGTCAACAGAAATTATACAATTAAATAATACCATAATGGAATGACTTGTTTAATGCCCCCAACCATCCCGACTACAATCCCACACGATCCCCGCAGGTCCCGGTCAAATAGCCGACGGTCATTTGGCCCAGAATCCGGGTCAAATAACAACTTTGTATTAAAAATAAACATTACTCAATAGTTTAACACCACATGGAGAAACCGATTACTCAAATAGGTTACGTAAAGTTGAAATTATCTTTTTCCAACGGTTTTTATGGATATTTTGAACGATTATGACTTTTGGAAAATAGATGCACGGCCAAAATGATAATTTTACCAGTATTTATTTGGATTTTTTCTAATAAATTTATATGATCTTAATTTCCTTACACTAACAAAAACAATGAATCTTCCAAAAAAAGTTACTTTCAACATGAAGGGTTAAAAAAAAACATTGAAAACCCTACCTAACCTAATCTAATCTAAACTACCTAACTTCTTGCGATGGACGAGCAAAAATTTAATCGGCATACCCGGTTTCGTACAGTCCAATAGCGTCTACATTTCGTGGACGTGACCGACACAGAACGAAACTGCGACGTTATTGACGGATTCTTTTCGTGCTTCCGGGAGAAACGCACAATTTTGAGGGATTTATTATTTAAATCTCTCTCGCTCGAATTTCACATAATCTGCTGTGACCAAACAGAGGACAGTGCAAATCTATTGTGATATTTACGCAGGAGCTTAAACTTTTTTTTCTAGATATATTTAAGCCTCCTTCGTGACCTAAACGTTGAAGACGAGAACCGACTCACAGACAAAACATTAAAACACAAAAACAAAACATTAAAGAAATAACTTTTTCTGTTATCACTAGTTAAATACAGCTACTCCTCGACTTACGACCTACTCGACCTACGACCGCCTCGGTCGTACCAAAATTTTGTCAAATTACCTATTTTCGAGTCCCGACGTGAGTGATTGCACTGTGTACCGACAAAATTTTTGTTTGTAATTCCCTTTAAAATGGCTGGCAAACGTAAGAGTGAGAGTTCTCGTTGTGCCGAGAAGAAGAATTGACACCCGTTTTAGATTTTCTATGTACGGTATTATTTTCGACTTGCGACCCGGTTGCCGGTCCCTGACCCCGTCGTCAGTCGGGGACCGACTGTACCGTAATGTGCTGGGTATATACGGTATAGCTCTACTGTATATCATTATCTACAAGAGTTAAGTCGGACTCGCGAACGAGCCTCGGGAGCTCGACTCGTCCGTCTGTCGAGAAGCTCCTGTATTGGCTTATAATCGACGTGTACGGTCACCCAAAAATAATATCTTTAGCCACGGGGTCGACGTGATTCGACCAATGTTACACGACCCGTTTCAGAACTGTTGCTAACTCTACGTCTACACCTCTGAGCATACGTATGTTTTTGAGAGATGCGAATCCTCCGAGGCTTCCGATCGCACGTCAAGCGAATTGAGATTGCGTGTCGTAAATGGACGCCGACGCCGTGCCGGTCATTAATGGGATCTTACGTCAAACGAACCGAGGAATTATCGGAAAGACGCAACGGGGCGAGCGAACCCGCTGTATCGCGATGGGTCAGCCGCCACGAAACGACCGGCGACGCCCCGATTTAAATTCTTATTGTGACGTTAAACCGACACTATTTACGAATCAATAATATTTGGCAGATCCCAATTAGACCGATATACTGTATATTGCTGTAGCTGTTCACTCTAATATCAACTACTATTTCCTTGGTCACCTCTCATAAATCATACGTGTCGTCGACGACTATATTCTGCAACTCGGTACGAATGAAACCGTCACTACGACACGGTGAAATGTTCGCCTCGGTTGTGATCCGAAACTCTTCCATTTAAAGTATATTTCCATGTTATTGTAATCCTCAGTCAGGGGCTTCTTTACATATGCCTTGCTTCTACCCAGCACGATACATACATTAATATAGCTTAATGGAGTTTTTGTTATAGTAAAGCATATACTGTACGGTTGTATGTCACGCGAGGATGACTCCCTCTCTCGCTACCCGCCGTCTATGGCTGTTGCTCATATAGTGACCGGATGTACCTGTACCAATTTATGCTGATGCACTGGAGATCAAATCAAAGTCTTTCACCCAGCGTTTCAAATTTTACCGCTAGAAAATCTATCAATACTTTTTGGGGGGGGGGAGCTTTTTTCATTGAAGAAAAGTATCTTGGCTTTTATAATGCGAGTCTATAGGAATATTGATTCGATTTACCATAGGTTTTTATAAGACACAGTACTCTTACAAACTGGGGAATGCCTGTAGAACTTTCCTAACATTCAAAGTACCACAACAATATTAAATACAATACCACAGACTACTTGAGGTCCAGTAAATTTCATGTCCAGCCAACTTCATTCTAGTTCACATCAGGTCCACTGTAGGCAGTGTTGGAGAAAGTGCCTGAAAATATTACTTAAGATAAAGTACTGCACTGTTGATATGTAAAAATTTAAACTATGTCCTGTAGTCTTCTTCAAAACTATGCAAATAAAAGTTTACTCAACTCAACTGATTCATATAAGTAGAAAAAAGTATTTAGAGTACCACAGCATATATAGAGTATCATAATTAATAAACAATGACATTATGTTTTGAAAACGAAACTTAAAGTTATTAATATACTGTACTGTACTTTAAAGAAACACGAAATAAACACACATTCAAAATTGGGTATGGGATGGAAAACGTGAATCTGGGTCATATTTTGGAAGTGTCGCGTACCGCCGACGCCAATGGGACGCGACTTTACGCACAAACATTTACATAAATGCCCACTTTTATAGGATTACTGTACAAGTGTACTGAAATACAAGTACAGGTTGTACCTCTCCGGTCCGGCAACCACGGGACCCGACCGGTGTCGGACGCCGGAAATTTCCCGACCGTGGAAATTCGCCCTCTTCCTGGACAGATAGTGACTTCTGTTTACACTTGGAAGCACTAGCACCACTTTCTCTGCTTCGTGGTCTCTTTGAAGACATATTGAAGGGTTAAATGTCGTACAGTACCTTCTCAAATTTCGCGAGTTTTTAATTCGACGTTTTCTATTTGAACGCACAAAAAAAACCGACACATTTAAAACTTTTGACGGCGGAAACTCAAATTTCGACGGTTTGAATGGCCCGCCGACGTTCGGACGACGTGCACGATCGTGTAAACGGCGTTATTTCTCTTATGTACGAAAGATTCATTATTATTTATTACTGAAAGTCTTTTGGATTGAATTAATGTTAGTGTGTGCAAAATGAGCAATACAATTCATTAATAATACGCTCAATATTAAAACGCGAGGAAATGAGACGGCACCGTTTTCGTCGATTACAAAACCGGTGACTGACTGGTTCTACGTATAAAACTGAAGAAAATAAGACCCCGGTTGTAGCTGTAGAAAAATTAATATGGTTCTTTTAAGTAATGTTAATAAATGGAACAATAGAAGTAGCTAACGATAATGGTAAAGAAAAACAGAGATCGCGTATGCGAGTGCGCACGCGGGAAAACGTATCGTCATTACTTTACGTAAGAATGTGAAAGCAACACTTATTTACTGTTCATATATATTTTAATTAATGTTTCTGAATTTGTTTTTATTGAATTAATGTTTGTGTGTGCAAAATTAACAATACAATTTATTACTAATACGTGTAATATTAAAACGCGCGACGAGACGAGACGGCTGCCGGCATTGTTTTTGTTAAAGCTTACAAAACCGGTGACAGATTGGTTCTACATATAAAACTGAAGAAAATTAGACCCTGATTGTAGCTGTAGTAAAATTAATGTAAAAAAATTAATATGCTTGTTTGAAGTAATGTTATTTAATGTTTATAAATGGAACAATATAAGTAGCTAACCATCAATGGTAAAAAAAAGTGAAACTGCGCGTATGTAAGTGCGCACACGTGAAAACATGTCGTCGTTACTCTACTTAAGAATATGAAAGCAACACTTATTTACTGCTAGAATATATATTGAAGGGTTAAATGTTGTGCTCTGCATAGACAAGCACAGAGAGAGAGCTGCCGGATGTAAACAAACCTTAATTTCCCCCGGCTTTGTCGTTGTTGTTTTTTTACGGGGATTAGCCCACCCGGGCATAGGTCACTGACCCACATTGGGGCCTGAGGGGCAAAAATTTAATACTCCTGTAATAATAATAATAATAATAATAATAATCAAGATTAAAAAAAAAAAAAAGCTGCCTATCTACCTATTGGACAAACTAAAATCGTTCCGGATCACAGAATGCCGGACTAGAGAGGTACAACCTGTACTCTAATACACTCGGCTCGTACGCCCAATGACACGACATGAAGTGACGACGTCGGTATTACCTCCCAGCGGCGTTTCTCCGTTTGCCGTTAACGGCGTCGTGTGCGAGACCGGACGGGTCTGTACGGTCGAGTCTCGACTTGTCGTACCGAGATGTGTTGTTGGTCCTTGAAGCTTCCTGGAAATGTGACCAATAGCTATATAATACACAACACTGTAAAACTATTATATTATAGGCAGGGATTATTTGACCGGTACTCGGCACAATAACCGCCGCTTATTTGACAGAGATCTAAAATAAAACTAAATCCTTTTGTCAACAGAAATTATACAATTAAATAATACCATAATGTAATGACTTGTTTAATGCCCCCAACCATCCCGACTACAATCCTATATGATCCCCGCAGGTCCCGGTCAAATGGCCGACGGTTATTTGGCCCAGAATCGTGGTCAAATAACATCTTCGTACACTTATAATAAAGGCACTTGTTTGTTTAGTACCACGTGGAGAAACTGATTACTCAAATAGGTTAGGTTAGGTTGAAATAATCTTGTTCCAATGGTTTTTGATGTATTTTCAACTTTTATGACCTTCGGAAAATAGCTGCACGGCCAAAACGATAGTTTTACAAGTTTTTATTTGGATTTTTTCTAATAAATAAATATGATCTTAATTTCCTTACACTAACAAAAACAATGAATCTTCCAAAGTGAGTTAGACTTTCAACATGAAGGGTTAAAAAAACAACATTGAAAACCCTACCTAACCTAATCTAAACTACCTAACTTCTTGCGATGGACCAACAAAAACCGAATCGGCATACCCGGTTTCGTACGCGTCCAATAGTGTTTACATTTCGTGGACGCGACCGACGTAGAACGAAACTGCGACGATCTCGACGGATTCTTATCGTGCTGCCGGGAGAGAGGCACAATTTTGCGGGATTTATTATTTAAATCTCTCTGCTGTGACCAATCAGAGGACAGTGCAAATTTATTATGATATTTACACAGGAGCAAAAACTTTTTTTCTAGATATATTTAAGCCTCCTTCGTGACCTAAACGTTGAAGACGAGAACCGACTCACAGACAAAACATTAAAACACAAAAACAAAACATTAAAGAAATAACTTTTTCTGTTATCATTAGTTAAATACAGCTACTCCTCGACTTACGACCTACTCAACATACGACGGAGCGGCCATTTTTTTGGTCCGGTAAACACAGCTGTGAGCGCTAGCTCCCAAATTTGGGATGTTTTCGAGCTTATTACATTAACTGAAGGATATATAGACTTACCTACTTGTGTATAAGGACCCGAGGATAAGATAAGTATCGTCAAGCAACTTTAGTGTTGGGAACTTACTGTTTACCTTACAAAAATAACTGCTCGGGGTCCCATCACTCCTGGCTGGGTGTTGTGGGATGTCAACATTGCCCCATGGAAAGTGAATTATCGCTTAAGAACTCTACATGGAAGAGTAAAGAAAAGATAGTATTGGACGAAGTTCTTGAAGACCTTGAGTTGAGTAGTGATGAGTCTAATACGAGTGATGAATAACAAGGGAAGTTCGAAAGTGAGAAAATACAGCGACAACAAGAGGTAGTGAAAAAGAAAGAAATTTCTAAAAGGAAGAGGGAGACAAGCTGGCAAGAGGACAGTGAAAGCAAAGAAGTGAGAGAGGAGAAGAGACAAAAAAATCTAGGACAAAAATCGTGTGTGGGTGGTAATAATAATGGAAATAACAGAAAGGAGACAGTGGAAAATGGATCAAGAACAGAGCAAAGTATGGAATTTGAAGGAAGCAGACAAGAACACACACAAGGCAATATTGGTCGTGTCAGGAAGAGATTAATTTTTCCACAGTCATGCCCGATGACCTTCCTTGAAAAATTAAAATGGACAGTACAACTAGGACGGGAGCATCGCAGCTTTGAGCCTCTTTTGAAAGAAGGCACACACAAGCCTTATCTTACAGTGGGGACCATGGAGGCTGTGGAAATGTTGACAACTGTTGGGTACAAGGGATTACTGATGGTTTTGCCACAGGAGAGCGACATACTACTTACAAAGGTAATAATCTTCAGGTACCCTGTAATACTAGATCCAGAATACTTATTGGATGACGAAAGATTTGTTTGGGTCAAGAGGCATTTAATAAGGGGAGAAGAGAGAAGCCAGGTTATTGCTCTAATGAGAGGAAAGGTTCCAGAGAAAGTGTTCATCACAGGAGCAGGGTATAGGAAGGTGGCACTATATGTGGAGGGACCAATAATAATGTGTCTCAAGTGTTGCAGATGGGGACATAAGGCCTGGAGCTGTCAACTGGACCCACGTTGTGGATTCTGTGGGAAGAGGCACGAATCTAGCAACTGTAAGGACAAGATCAATGCAGGAGAGAAAGTGAAGCCTTGTTGTTGTAATTGTGGTAAAACTCACAATGCTAGTTCAATTGCATGCGAGATGAGGCCACGTATGAGAAGTGACCAACAAAGGAATTATTCAGAGAACACTGAGGAAGTACGCTGTGGTCTGACAGTGACAAGACAGCAGGAGAACACACAGACAGTGATTCCTGAGAATGCCTGGCATGAAGATTCAAGAAGGATAAGGACTGCGCTTGCGGCCGGAAGCGTTGTTGATGCCAGAAACAAAGAGAGTAATAAACAAGTAGCAAGTGAGAGTAGTGGTGCAGCCCTCCAGGTTAGTGATAAAACTGTGCAAGAAATTCTGGGAGAAGAGGTGCTTAAGATGTTTCAGCTTTTGCAAAAGTTAGGTCAGAAAATAGAAGTGATAGAGAAAAGACTTGATACAGTGATAAATAAAAAAAGGGAAAACAAAGCTGTGAATAATGTAGAATTAAAAGGGAAAGAGGAAAGTGAAGAGCTCAAGCCTTTGAAAAATTCAGTGCTTAAAATAAGTATTACAGGGAAGGAGAGGAAAATAAAGGATTGTGTAGCGCAGGGAGCAACAACTGAAAGTTTTAAAAAGGTGTTGGTAAAGTGTAAAGATGCTGATAAAGAAAAACTTTTGAGGAAATGGGAATCTGTGCAGGAGGATTGGGCCTTCTTAAAGAATCTGATTGGAAAGGATATAAAATGTGTAAATATTAATCCTGGATCTAGCTAGCCTTAAGACGTCTTTAAGGTGGCGAGATGAGAATCCCAGGGCGAGATTCCTTGGCAGACGCCACGGCCCACCGCCACAGTCAACTTTTCCTGGGCCAGGCGCTCCGAGCTAGCGAGCGAGCCTGTAAACAACTCTGGCCTACTGACTCCGTCATATGATCATGGTCTACCCACTGTTCTTGGTTATATGTATGGAGCCGTATTAATATCCATGCTTAGGGATGACTAGCAGAAATATAGTCATCCCAGGTTAAGTATTGAACCCCTGAATGAGAGTTCAAGGTACCAGGTGGTTCCTTGTGAAGTGATAAGAATTATGGTGTGTTACTAATTGTGGAATTGCCCAGTGTGTTATGTATTCATCTGTAGTACCCATGAAATAATAACCTGAGAGTATGAGGTTCTAACCACGAATTGAGAAGGTAATTTGTTCCTTGTTAAAGTAAGACCTGCGGGTCCAGGGTTATTGACAGTGTGTAAGCATTTCTAAATCTTACTTGTCACAGAAATACTACA